AAGAAACTGATTGTATTCTGGTGTTACTAATAAAGAAGCAAAGTTAAGTGATGATACAATTGAGATAGGAATTAGAAAAAACGTATTTTTTCAATGAAATATTTTTTTCTTGGGCAGGTCTGATTATCTTTCAATGAATAAAATGTATCTAAACTTTCTTCTTGAGTTTCACTGTTGAAACTGGTCACAAATTGTCAGCTTTCTGAAGTTGAATATCTTTGTGTGTCAGTCATTCTTCTCTAACAGACCCCTAAAGGTTTTTATACTGAATCAATACATTTGATATTTTCTGTACTTTCAGAAAAGACTTTGAAAATGTAAAAATATAGATCCTCTTTACCTTCTTTTTTTTCACAACCATTTTGATGTACACATATTGTGATCTATTTTAGGTGTTCTGAGTGGGTATACCAGTTGTGATAAGACATATGAAACATAGAATTTTCCACCAGATTATGTTCTGCCCTAAACACCATTCTGAGCAGAAAGAAATTTGAGTAAATAAGGAGTCAAGTATTTTAAATTTTTGCTTGATATCATACAGCTTTCTGTATTACTTTTTTATAGGATACTTCGAAAATTTAAAACTAACAGAGAGGAAAACTTCCTCATTTTGCGAGAAAATTTTGAGTTTTCTCTACATTGAGAAACTGTTTTCTGCTTTTTAAATGCAGCCTCATACCGTTGCTACCAAAGGTATGGGAAAAAATTAATTGATTTATGCCCCTCTGCTGGCCTTAAGGCTGTGCAGAATGCATCTATCCCATGCCCTCCAAGTACCCACACTTGCAACTGGTTTGTGGAAACTGGGTCTTTTGGGGGACAAAGGAGAACACTTTATCTGTAAGACCCAGATCTAAGCAATGAATAATGGCATTTCTGAAATAACCTCTCAGTAACAGTGGGAGCTTTTAGAAAGGAAACAACAATGATATTTTGTGATAACTTTGAGTACATTCAGTTGCAGCAGATGTGCAATCTGTTAGTATGACATAGGAGAGTATGTTTACCACCAGTCATATACACTGCACACAAAAAATTGTTTCATTTTTTTTGCCTGGGCTTCCTGAAAATCTTTACTTAGAGTGGTGAAAAGCAGAACTGGAATAATCAAATAGTTCAAAAACAATTGAAATAATATAAGTTTGTCTGTAACTAAGGTGCAAAGCCTGTTATGCCTGGGAACATTGTTCTGATAGCAATCACTTAAGAACTGTTACGTATTCTTTTGTTGTTGTGTGTTTTTTTTTTAAGCTGGACCTGTGATCTGCAGAATGCTAACATACCCTCCAACTCGAAGAGCCTTAATTGTGGGTTGTGGTCTGCAGATGTTTCAACAACTGTCAGGGATTAACACCGTCATGTATGTATTTACTGCTTGCTTCTCTTTATAAAATACAAGAAAAAAGACCTATGGCAGTTGTAGATGGGCTTCTGGACAAAAGCAGAAATGTGAAAAATTGAGTGTGAGCTGGAATGCTTGTTTGACATATGCTTGTAGTGACATATTTGGCGTCTCAGAAAATTGGTACAAGGGGATTTTAGTATAAGGGCAGACACTGATATAGAGATGAGAATGCAAACTGTACTCTGGGAGGTGCATTATTCTGTGTTAGGGTTCTCTGTCAAAGCTATGTGTGTATAAGAATGTACACTTACAGTTTGAATTTGTGTGCAAATAGATCAAAATCCTGTTTGGGTTAGACTGTCGCCCATATGAATGAGATGGAAAATTACTGTGAAGTGCTAAAAGAGGTAAGACGATGAGGGAAGAAGCATTTCCTGTTGTTGCATGGTTCCACTACTAATATGAAAACTCAGTAAATGCAGAAATGAAGAGCAATATATTGGGTGTTCTGATAAGCTGTCAGCTCACAAGAGGAGTAGCTCTTGGCAAATGTGCAGTGCACAAGACCAAATTTGGGGTTACAATTACTGCTGAGCTACTCTACAAGAGTAACCATAATGAATACGATTTCCATATTGTTTTAGGAGCAAGTGTAAAATATATTGCAGTAACATCTTATGGAGACAGCAACACGTAAGAGATCAAGCTTGTTAGTTAAAAGGAACAGCCAAAAGGATAAAGCTTTTAGAGGTATCAAGAACTACCATATTAAATGCTAACGTAAATATCTGCCATGTATTGCAATGGGGAGGAACCCAAATTCAGCATTGTTAAACTGCAGTGGAGGGAAACCTGTAAGAGATAAAGAGAAGCTTCATAAAGGAGAAATGGTACCTAAATATGGGAAACTGGAGAATGCGTAACTGGTTAGGCTGTGGAAACCAGAAGAGATACACAGAAGCAGCTTGGAGAAATTCTTCAGGCACATCAGAAGCAAGAGACCTTCAGATATCCTCCAGGCCCAGTAAGAATCAAGACATTTTGAGAACAGTAACAGAAGAGAAATCTTTAGCAGCAAATCTTAGGAAGACTCTTTTTGCATCTGTGTTAATTACGAAGGGTATATGAAGGTTCCTGCACTGGAGCTTACTGGAGATATCTCAGATGGTCTGCTTCAAGTGTTAGGGGAAGGACTTTTAGAACAAGCTGATTAAAATTAATAATAACAGATTGCTTGATTTGCTCAGGGTACACACAACAGGTCTGGAGTATTTTGAATACATAATCACTTAATTTGGAAATGTAGCACAATATGTGTGAAGCTACAGCCCAGAAATTTTTACTTCTGTCCTTATAAAAATTAATTAAAACTATCATAGAATGAAATGAGATTACGTGTGTTTATAAATAGGAGATGTAAACTAATATATGAATATATATATATAACTCATTAAGGGTCAACATTATTGCTCTAGTCAGATTATGGCTTGCAAATCAGTTGGTTGTGAGTTCATGGTCATTTTATAACTGTATCTCCGATATGAACTAACAGCCCAGCCTGTGAACAGCAGCTGCCAAAGTTTCTTCAAGAACCTCGATGGTCACAATAGTAAGAGAGAAGCTCTTCAGGTTAATAACATTTTAAGATAGGAAAAAAGAGGATAAGAATCAAACATTAGTTACCACAAGCCAACAGTAGACTCCTGCAGGGATCTATGTGAAAAGATTTGTTGCTTTAATAAGTCTGTGAAAGGGGCTAAACAGCAAAATAACAGCTTGTACCCATACACCATTTGCGATATTAAGACCCCTAAAATTTGTGAATATGAACAATTGTGGGGTGATAATGCAAGATAACAAATTAATAAAACAGCAAGTACATAAACTATACAGTATTATACAGTGATGCATGCAGGAGGGAATTAACGAGCATGCATGGCAATCTAAATTGTTACTACTGAAAAAAGAGGAGTTGAAGTTGCATTATGGTTCTAATACAAACATCATTATCACATTCATAACTGATTTGGGATACTAGAAACAATTGCAGACATCCTTGCTTTTTAGTAAAAGCAGGTTTTACATGGGGAAAGACACACCTGTATTTAGATTGGATGGTTAGGACTCTGCGACTTGGAAAGGAAATAAGTTCAGAAGAAACGCAAGAGGCACATAAAGCTACTAATGTTATGGAGAAGATGGGGAGAGTGTGATTATTCAACATTTCTTACGACACAGTTTTGATGACTCCTCGCTCTTACCCAGCAGCAGGTATTAAGTATGTGCATAATTACATAGTGGAACTCATTGCCAGAGGATGTTACACAGGTGCCAAATGTAGAGGTTTAGAAGTTAATTAGGAAAACCTATTTAATAAACATTATTAAAATATTATTAAATACAGTGTGGATGCAACCTTTGGTCAAGCACAGTCATTCTGTTATAACATAGGAACATTTTGGTTCCTATTTCTTGACAATGCCTTACTAGGCTAGAACAAAAAATTGATAGTTCACAAGGTTTTTGACACTGGTAGGTTGACTTTGTTTATTTTAGTCTTCATATGTTTTAAAATCTCAAACTTCTTTCTATGTAGGAGGTTTTAGAAATAATGTAGAATTGACCTAATTTGCTCATGGATGAGTAGGAGGACAGAATTATGACTATAAAGCATAGTTGAATCTCAGCTTTAAAATAAGAAGATTCCTGTAATAAATACAGGAAGACACTTCTTTAAGGACTGGCTTGTAAACCATCTGCAATATACAGTATTTTAAAAATAATCTGGTGTAACTAAGTTTTTAGTTATCAGGTATGCAAGACCAACATTCTCCTAGGAGAGGACATCTTTCAGATACAAGAAGCTGTCTGATGATGGCTTGCTTCTATAGAAGTTGGTGATTCCTTTTTAATGCAGAAATTAGATGATACCTTAAGGAACTGGGAGATTGTATTAACTCTCTAAGCACTACTTTTCTCTCTGTAATGCTTGGTTGTTTCATTCTGGGATTGCTGTTCTGTTGCAGCAGGAAGTCAGGCATTGGCTATGGTGGAAGGTTGTAGGATTGTGTGGACTTTACTTCAGTGGTTTTGCTAACCCATTTACCAAAAAACAGTCACAAAAAATATTTCAATGGTTGGTGTTCACTGTAACTTTGGTGCTGCTGTGAATCCTCTTCTCTTGGTATACCCCTGTGTAG